AGGTTGTTTTATTAGCTATTATGAAGCAACAGCTAGTGTATTCTTGGAATTTGGTCAATTTGGGAAGCTGTCATCCCAGATGTATATAGCACAGTTCTAAATAATGTGGCTTCGCGTGGATTCAGGTGTGAAAATAATCAAAACAAGACAAACATTGATAATGGCTGTATTCCAAGTGAATGAAGAAGTTTGGTCAAAGAGTTTAATCCATGGAACCATCTTCCATGAGACAGCCATGTTTTTATTTTGTTCTCACTTAATTTTTAGGCAGGCCCATAGATTCCTTAAGTAACCCTTTGCTTACTGGAGAGACCTTCAGAATGTTATTGGTTCAAACCTTTTGGGAGGATTTACATTCTGTTTTCTTTCTTTAAACCACTAGAGGGCAAAACATTCACAGATCACACCATAAAGTTCCTATTTAATTAATTATGAACAGTAAATTCAAGGCAATAACTATTAATACTTATATATTATGAATGTGTCTATTGAAGCAGTGTATTACCCTGAAGAGAGAGAACATGGCAATCCCATTTAGTTCAATCACATAGGAAAAATCAGTGGGCAGTCAAGAGCAAGGTACAGGTTAGCCTTTTGAGCCACAAGAGTGTACAATCCAAATAAATATTTCAGAAATTACTGTTTCTTTTCAAAGAGCCTCATAAATTATCATCTTTGGAACGGGAACAGTAGGCAGGTAATTTTGTTAAGGTAAGCACATGAACTGCACACCATTAAATAAGAGAAATTAACATTTATTTAAAATCTGTTTCAATTACTTTTCATATAAGATCATAGCCAGTGTACATATTAATATAAAGCAGGTTTTTCAAAAGATATGGTAGAGCAACAGTAAATTTGACATGTAAATGAGCTGCCATCTTAAAAATACTACTGATAAAAAAAGGATTATGTGGAAATTAGAAATTAAAACAAAAACTTATTTGAGCCATTATTATTTAATATTTTGATTAAACATTGTTTTAAAAGTGTTGCTGTTCTTTAATCTGTAGTAAGAAATCAAATAGTAAATAGTGAGTAATTAGTCTTCATGACTAAGAGAAGCATTTTCTTATCCTGAGTCTGTCACATTAATATCTACAGTGTTTATCAATCGTCAATAAAGATAATTTTAAAGAAGAATGCATATTTCCATATGCTGAGTAGTTGCCATATGTATATATATGTAGTAAAAGTTAAAACAATTATCTTCCTGAAAGTGTAGTTGATATGCATTTTGTAAAGAACATTAGTTATTATTTATTGAGTATATATCATATACAAATATTTAAATTGTCCAGTTGAGAAAAGTGTTTCAGAATCAACTTTTTGTATTGTCTACTTTTTTAAATGTAAATATCTCATTATTGCTATCAATAGCACATTATTATTAGCAATGAGATTTCATACTGCCCCACATTCCTACAGAGTGAAAGTATAATAATTTTCTTAAAATACGTAAATTTTAATAGTTTTTTTTAAACTATTAAAACACTGCAAATTTGCAATGAGAAAAATAGCCTCAGGAAATCATCAAAACTTCATCCAAACAAAAACATTTCTGCTTATATACATTAACAATAATTAAGAGTATTTTATTCCTCTTGTATGAAAAATATTTATTGCATTTTTCTAAATTTTTAGGAAAGAAATTATTAACAACTGAGTTGTTTATCATTGCGTTCCAAAGCGTTTTTAGGAGAAATGTTCCATTTGCTGCTCAAAATTGATGTCCTATGAGGAGATAGGAAGGAGGCATGCTTACAAGGGTTTGCATTGTCCAGACAACTCTGCACTGTTGTGATTCAAGGACAGAGAACTAAGCCACAAAATTCATTTAATCAAGCCTCCTTTATCAGTGAATACAAACATTTACTAAAATTAGTTTCCTATTAAATTTATCTTTGCATATGACAATTAAAGCCATTCTTGTAATGCAATAGTTCTAGGCTAAAATAAAAATTAGCCTTCTTATTATTTTACTGGGAATTATTTTAGGTAAAGGTGGCATTTTTTGAACTTCCTTTTTGTAGGTAGACTCAGCCCAGCAGGAAAAAAAAAATGAATGATATAAAAAACATAGACCATTTGTAAATTAGCAGCATTACAAAAATTTCAAAAATCATAATAATGTGCATACACTCTTTTCTAGCCATAGTTCAAAAGAGGCTAAAGAAGGAAAAGAAGGCAAAGAGAAAATTGCAGGAAGCACTTGAGTTTGAGACGAAACGGCGTGAACAAGCAGAACAGACGCTAAAACAGGCAGCTTCAACAGATAGTCTCAGGGTCTTAAATGGTAAGAGGATGTATATTATTGCATGACTAACTTTCATTTTTAATACTTAAAGGACAGTTTAGACATGTGTTTGTGGTTTGTATGTTTCTATATCTTGTGATTCATTCAGCTACACTTGAAGCTGAAAGCAGGGTGGGAAGAACATGTTGGGGAAATGCCTTATTTCATAGGTGCTTCCACTGTTTTTTACTGAACTCCAGCATCTGGGACTTGGCATTGCTTCTCTGTTTAACCAAATCTTTCTCTACTGAAACAGCATGAATTATTAATTTGAGAATTTCTGCCACCCCTTCCTCTTTTATGAACAATGTTGCATTGCTTACTGTTCAAATCTTCTGAAAATTCTTATGGTTATAGTGCCTGTTCAACCTTTAAAAGACGACAAAGATTTATGTAATTTTAATTCAGCACTAAAGTAACAGGTTGCTCTTTGTATTTTTAAAGGACAATAAGAATCAAATGAAATATGTGTCACTCTTACCTTTTTGTGCTTTTAGACTCTCTGACCCCAGAGATAGAAGCTGACCGCAGTGGCGGCAGAACAGATGCTGAAAGGACAATACAAGGTAGGAATTTGCAGAAGGCTATAAATCTAGATCTTGCTATATGAGTTTTTCCTCAGCTTTAGCCTGCTATTCAAGCATGTAGCCTACCATCTGGGCCACATCAAAACAAGTTCAAACAAGGTCAAGTTCGTCTTGCTTGTTTATATGAGTGAATTCATTTTGTGCTGATAGATTTTCTTTAAATTAACAGGTCATCTCTGTTTATACAATGCAATTAAAAGGAATAATTAATTTTAAACAATGTATGATTTAATCTTGGACACAGTAAATGTGTTTTATTGAATGTTTGAAACCCAGTATAATGCAGGAAGGGTTTATAAGTTCTATGCTACATAAATAAAATCATGGGTTAATCAAATAGGTAGTTCTTACAATTTAAAAATGTCTAACTACTCATTTTTATGACAGTTACTTCAAGGTACCTGCAAAATAGACTGGTTGAATGTTAACAATAAATAAGCTTGTTTAGTTCCTATGTGGATTCCAAATGTTCTGTATGCCATTATATACACTTTATAACACAAATCTGCTGAGTAAAATCATATATAGAATACCAAAGGGAGTTGTATTAAATGCCCAGAAGAGCTAAATATGTATACTGTCAAGACTATACTATTAGAAAAGAATAAAACCAGAAGGTAGCATTTACAGTCAAACATCTATTCTAGAAAACAAATTCAACCCAAGGACGTGAATACTAAACAGTAACAAGAGCATTTGTTTTCTCTTTTAAATGAAGGTGATTCTTCAAAGGGATGTCTAAAATGATTAACTGCCATAATCCTCCCAATTGCTTTTATTCTGCATTTTAAACCCAATCATTTTTAGGATACTGTATGACATTAATTGTGTTAATCAGCTCCAAAAGTGTCTTTCTTGGCTTAGTATAAAATAAATATACTTTTGTAAAGTATCATATGGGCAAGAAGTAACAATCACAAACTTGAAGAGACATTTTTGGGGAAAGAATGGATCTTTTTTTGCCTATATTTGTCTTACCTGAGGCAATGCTAATTAATTTGTAAATCCTGAGGTTTGAATCAGCTTGGATATACAAGCTTAATGCTATTGTAGATATGGAAAAGGATCTTAATTTTTAGAGTATTATGGAATTCAGCACAATCATATGTGTGTGTNTATATATATATATATATGATTAGTTATATGAATAAGCCTTGCTTTCTCCATATGTTCTTTTAAATTATTATGCTAATTGTTTTCTAGAAGTTATCCTGAGTTTATTACAACCATCTCTAATGGCTTTTTAAAAAATAATAAACCACTAAACTAAGCTTTAGAGCCTTCAAATATATTGTGTATCTCAGGGAAAGTGAAGCAGTACTCTAATTTCCACTTGTGAAATTTTAAAATCTAGTATATAGTAGGCACTTTCTGGGCCCTGGGGACATAGTCTTGAATGAGAGAACATGCCCCTGCCCCAGAGAGCTTACATTTTAATAGACAAGACGTAACATAAATCAGTAAACAAATAAATATATGTCAATACCATATAATGATACATTCTATGAAGAATTTTAAGGAGGGAGTAATAGCATACATTTAGAGACAGGGTGGTAAGAGAAGGCCTCTCTTGAATGGTGACTTTGAGCAAAGATGAAATGAAATGAGGGTGTGAACCATGCAAAGATCTGGAGGAAAAGCATTCAGAAAAGGAACAGAAGAGCAAAGTATGTGGGGGCAGAAACAAATTGTTGCATTGAGGAACCATAAGGAGGCCATTGCAGCTAAGTGCTCATGGTAGGGAGTGGGAGAATTAGCTTTGAGGAGAAAGGTGAGCACTGCCAGGTTCATTGGAGGTTGTATAAACCATGTCAGGTAATTACTTGTGGAGGAGTTTCAGCCTAATTTCCTTCTCAGTTCTTATTTTTTAGACACACTTATGTGCTGCCCTAATTTAGCTTTGGATCTAGATATTCTAATTAGAAGCAATTGAACCTGCATGCCATAAATATTTGTTTTCCTAAAATAGTTTAATTAGGATTAGGAGTTTTGTGCTTTAGTTATAGTATTTGTCCTAGAGAGTGTAGAGTGAATGTACAAGAATTAGATAATTTGATTACTGGGTTCTTCCCTTTTAAAATGCTTTTAAGTAATGAATGAAATGTTCTTTGTATTAAAATGTTACCATTCTGAATATCTTCTTTGTACAGGGACTCTTGAAAGTTGCCATAGATAATGCCAGAGCTCAAGAGAAACAGGTTCAACTGGAAAAAACAGAGCTGAAGATGGATTTTTTAAGGGAAAGAGAACTAAGAGAAACACTTGAGAAGCAGTTGGCTATGGAACAAAAGAATAGAGGTATTTCCACATTTCCAAATAAGTTTAATATTTACAAAAATATTAAAAATATTATTACTATGATGGTGATTTATTCTGAAATTGTAGTATTTTTGTTAACTGTAGCTAAAGTTCAGAGCAGTATTCGAATCCTAAGCTCATTGTATTTATTAATCTCCAAAGTACCTGTTTTCTCTTCTGTCCCTACCTCTGGAAATTGAAATACATCATTAATCATATAACTTTTATTGATTGTTGAGTTTAACAAATTCATGTTCTTTAAGATAAGAATAAATTCTAATGATAGCCATGAAGAAAAATTTTATGTTCATTCACAATTGCCCTTTGAAAAACTTGAGTTAAAATCATAAAGCTAAAATAGAAAATACTGATTATTCAAGTGAAGCAGGTTTACTAAGATATTTTATCAACAGAAATTGAAAACAGATGAATATCTGAACTAATGACCAAAGTTAAATGTTTGTATAATTTTCTTTCTGAAGGCCTCATTTTCATCCAACAAGATCAGATACACAGAGTAGAAACTGATATAAATTCTTGTTGGATAAAATAATATTATTGTTGATCTTTGAATTGCTTCTTTTATCACACTGTAGAGTACATCTATAGGTAATTTTGAAGGTCATCTATATTTACATCTTTACGTATGAATTTAAAGATTATGAATGAGCAACTGCCTCATTGCTTTACTATGATTCTTTTAAGTATTCTAAAAGTGAACGTGAGGTCTTCTTTTCTCTCATTTAATATATATCCAATATAAACGCTCCACATTATTTTCTTTTTTATGTTTGATATGATCATTTAAAAATCGTTGTTTCTGTTTTGCTTTTAAACTAGCAGGATTTACTAGGTTGTTTTATTAGCTATTATGAAGCAACAGCTAGTGTATTCTTGGAATTTGGTCAATTTGGGAAGCTGTCATCCCAGATGTATATAGCACAGTTCTAAATAATGTGGCTTCGCGTGGATTCAGGTGTGAAAATAATCAAAACAAGACAAACATTGATAATGGCTGTATTCCAAGTGAATGAAGAAGTTTGGTCAAAGAGTTTAATCCATGGAACCATCTTCCATGAGACAGCCATGTTTTTATTTTGTTCTCACTTAATTTTTAGGCAGGCCCATAGATTCCTTAAGTAACCCTTTGCTTACTGGAGAGACCTTCAGAATGTTATTGGTTCAAACCTTTTGGGAGGATTTACATTCTGTTTTCTTTCTTTAAACCACTAGAGGGCAAAACATTCACAGATCACACCATAAAGTTCCTATTTAATTAATTATGAACAGTAAATTCAAGGCAATAACTATTAATACTTATATATTATGAATGTGTCTATTGAAGCAGTGTATTACCCTGAAGAGAGAGAACATGGCAATCCCATTTAGTTCAATCACATAGGAAAAATCAGTGGGCAGTCAAGAGCAAGGTACAGGTTAGCCTTTTGAGCCACAAGAGTGTACAATCCAAATAAATATTTCAGAAATTACTGTTTCTTTTCAAAGAGCCTCATAAATTATCATCTTTGGAACGGGAACAGTAGGCAGGTAATTTTGTTAAGGTAAGCACATGAACTGCACACCATTAAATAAGAGAAATTAACATTTATTTAAAATCTGTTTCAATTACTTTTCATATAAGATCATAGCCAGTGTACATATTAATATAAAGCAGGTTTTTCAAAAGATATGGTAGAGCAACAGTAAATTTGACATGTAAATGAGCTGCCATCTTAAAAATACTACTGATAAAAAAAGGATTATGTGGAAATTAGAAATTAAAACAAAAACTTATTTGAGCCATTATTATTTAATATTTTGATTAAACATTGTTTTAAAAGTGTTGCTGTTCTTTAATCTGTAGTAAGAAATCAAATAGTAAATAGTGAGTAATTAGTCTTCATGACTAAGAGAAGCATTTTCTTATCCTGAGTCTGTCACATTAATATCTACAGTGTTTATCAATCGTCAATAAAGATAATTTTAAAGAAGAATGCATATTTCCATATGCTGAGTAGTTGCCATATGTATATATATGTAGTAAAAGTTAAAACAATTATCTTCCTGAAAGTGTAGTTGATATGCATTTTGTAAAGAACATTAGTTATTATTTATTGAGTATATATCATATACAAATATTTAAATTGTCCAGTTGAGAAAAGTGTTTCAGAATCAACTTTTTGTATTGTCTACTTTTTTAAATGTAAATATCTCATTATTGCTATCAATAGCACATTATTATTAGCAATGAGATTTCATACTGCCCCACATTCCTACAGAGTGAAAGTATAATAATTTTCTTAAAATACGTAAATTTTAATAGTTTTTTTTAAACTATTAAAACACTGCAAATTTGCAATGAGAAAAATAGCCTCAGGAAATCATCAAAACTTCATCCAAACAAAAACATTTCTGCTTATATACATTAACAATAATTAAGAGTATTTTATTCCTCTTGTATGAAAAATATTTATTGCATTTTTCTAAATTTTTAGGAAAGAAATTATTAACAACTGAGTTGTTTATCATTGCGTTCCAAAGCGTTTTTAGGAGAAATGTTCCATTTGCTGCTCAAAATTGATGTCCTATGAGGAGATAGGAAGGAGGCATGCTTACAAGGGTTTGCATTGTCCAGACAACTCTGCACTGTTGTGATTCAAGGACAGAGAACTAAGCCACAAAATTCATTTAATCAAGCCTCCTTTATCAGTGAATACAAACATTTACTAAAATTAGTTTCCTATTAAATTTATCTTTGCATATGACAATTAAAGCCATTCTTGTAATGCAATAGTTCTAGGCTAAAATAAAAATTAGCCTTCTTATTATTTTACTGGGAATTATTTTAGGTAAAGGTGGCATTTTTTGAACTTCCTTTTTGTAGGTAGACTCAGCCCAGCAGGAAAAAAAAATGAATGATATAAAAAACATAGACCATTTGTAAATTAGCAGCATTACAAAAATTTCAAAAATCATAATAATGTGCATACACTCTTTTCTAGCCATAGTTCAAAAGAGGCTAAAGAAGGAAAAGAAGGCAAAGAGAAAATTGCAGGAAGCACTTGAGTTTGAGACGAAACGGCGTGAACAAGCAGAACAGACGCTAAAACAGGCAGCTTCAACAGATAGTCTCAGGGTCTTAAATGGTAAGAGGATGTATATTATTGCATGACTAACTTTCATTTTTAATACTTAAAGGACAGTTTAGACATGTGTTTGTGGTTTGTATGTTTCTATATCTTGTGATTCATTCAGCTACACTTGAAGCTGAAAGCAGGGTGGGAAGAACATGTTGGGGAAATGCCTTATTTCATAGGTGCTTCCACTGTTTTTTACTGAACTCCAGCATCTGGGACTTGGCATTGCTTCTCTGTTTAACCAAATCTTTCTCTACTGAAACAGCATGAATTATTAATTTGAGAATTTCTGCCACCCCTTCCTCTTTTATGAACAATGTTGCATTGCTTACTGTTCAAATCTTCTGAAAATTCTTATGGTTATAGTGCCTGTTCAACCTTTAAAAGACGACAAAGATTTATGTAATTTTAATTCAGCACTAAAGTAACAGGTTGCTCTTTGTATTTTTAAAGGACAATAAGAATCAAATGAAATATGTGTCACTCTTACCTTTTTGTGCTTTTAGACTCTCTGACCCCAGAGATAGAAGCTGACCGCAGTGGCGGCAGAACAGATGCTGAAAGGACAATACAAGGTAGGAATTTGCAGAAGGCTATAAATCTAGATCTTGCTATATGAGTTTTTCCTCAGCTTTAGCCTGCTATTCAAGCATGTAGCCTACCATCTGGGCCACATCAAAACAAGTTCAAACAAGGTCAAGTTCGTCTTGCTTGTTTATATGAGTGAATTCATTTTGTGCTGATAGATTTTCTTTAAATTAACAGGTCATCTCTGTTTATACAATGCAATTAAAAGGAATAATTAATTTTAAACAATGTATGATTTAATCTTGGACACAGTAAATGTGTTTTATTGAATGTTTGAAACCCAGTATAATGCAGGAAGGGTTTATAAGTTCTATGCTACATAAATAAAATCATGGGTTAATCAAATAGGTAGTTCTTACAATTTAAAAATGTCTAACTACTCATTTTTATGACAGTTACTTCAAGGTACCTGCAAAATAGACTGGTTGAATGTTAACAATAAATAAGCTTGTTTAGTTCCTATGTGGATTCCAAATGTTCTGTATGCCATTATATACACTTTATAACACAAATCTGCTGAGTAAAATCATATATAGAATACCAAAGGGAGTTGTATTAAATGCCCAGAAGAGCTAAATATGTATACTGTCAAGACTATACTATTAGAAAAGAATAAAACCAGAAGGTAGCATTTACAGTCAAACATCTATTCTAGAAAACAAATTCAACCCAAGGACGTGAATACTAAACAGTAACAAGAGCATTTGTTTTCTCTTTTAAATGAAGGTGATTCTTCAAAGGGATGTCTAAAATGATTAACTGCCATAATCCTCCCAATTGCTTTTATTCTGCATTTTAAACCCAATCATTTTTAGGATACTGTATGACATTAATTGTGTTAATCAGCTCCAAAAGTGTCTTTCTTGGCTTAGTATAAAATAAATATACTTTTGTAAAGTATCATATGGGCAAGAAGTAACAATCACAAACTTGAAGAGACATTTTTGGGGAAAGAATGGATCTTTTTTTGCCTATATTTGTCTTACCTGAGGCAATGCTAATTAATTTGTAAATCCTGAGGTTTGAATCATATGTTATTATGAGACAGCTTGGATATACAAGCTTAATGCTATTGTAGATATGGAAAAGGATCTTAATTTTTAGAGTATTATGGAATTCAGCACAATCATATGTGTGTGTGTGTTTGTATATATATGGTTATGAAAATGAAAAGAATCCTCTTGCATCTTATGAAACTTACATACATATGTTAAGAATTCCTGTTAATGACATTCCCGTTTATCAGGGACAATAGCATCAATAAGGTAAATGCAAATATCAGCACTATTGTATACATTCAGGGGCTATTCATGCATTAGGTAATGTCAAAGTGGTCTTAGAAAGCACATGAGCCCATAGATAAGCATAATATATAAATCATGTGGTATACACAGAATCCTCAATGTGGTCTGAACTCAATCTAGAAAAAGTTAGACAGTATAGTCCTGCATATAAATGAGAGATTCATTGTGAATATTAAGAAGTGATTAAACATTTTTGTATGGTTGATATACTATGAATGCTATGAGTAACAATATGTTGGTTAATAAGGCTATGGTTGTTTTTGTTTGAATTTGTCAAATTTACATATATTCAAATATACATTTTAATATAGGTAAAGTGTTGCTATGTGAGGTTGAAATGTTAACAACTGTCAGTTTCTATCGTTGTGATTGACTTATTCTGAAGAAAAGTTTTAATCACAAATTGCCTTCCTTTTAGTATCCAGAATGATACCAGTGGAGGAACACAGTAAACCTATGCGCCAACGACTTAATGATTAGGGAAACAAAACATTTGTGCAAAAACTATACATAGTAATTTAAAACCTTATATAAATTCTATGGAATTATTTTTGCCTTTAATTGTAATAGAAAATCCTCACTCCATTCATTCAGTCTGTCCATTGTTGTACTGGTCAAAATGTACAGCTGGTTTTTAATAAAACATATTAACAATTCATTATATTTATCAGATAATATGGCTTTTCCCAAATTTTAGTAAGAAAAACACTGTTGATGAATCTGTTTCTAGCTGTTAGTTGCTAAAAGATATTTTACCAGCAGTCAAACGATTTCAAGACTCTTAACATAACAGAGCAAAGAGATCATATTTGCTATTTTAACACCCTATTCAATAAGCTTAATTAGCCCTTTGAACTTTTTTTTTCTCTAACCTCAGACAAAATTCATATATTTGGAAGCTAACAAGCAGAATACAATTAACTGTGAACAAAAGAAATCAAAGAAAGAAGACTGTATTTAGTTTAATGTTGTCTAAGGACAAGAAAGGGAAAGGCCAGGAAGAACCCAAACTCATTACTAATTTGGGAAACAGTCTGTGTCATGCATTTTGGGAGCCATGAGCACCTGCTGCTTCACAATTCAAGAATGACATACACACAGCCTCTTGCACTCACTGCTTTCTCTCTCCATCTGTCCCCAAGTCTAAGTGTTATGACATTCTTTGTATTCTTTCTTGCTCTCAATCCAACCATAACTGAAATTATTTGCTATTCCAAAGTAAACTCAATTTATTGGGGAAGACAAAATAAGCCCACAGGTTTTTTAAGCTTTTCATGTATTTTTAATATTTCTGGCAATAAATAAATGCCTCGCTTGGCCCAAGAGTTAGTCACCTAGAAGTTGGGAACTTAAATACTTACTGCTTGAGTGCTACATAATTACCCATAAATAATCTTGGGTAGACTAAAATTTGCCTCATTGGTATTTTGTATCATCAATTCTATAAAACCACAGAGGTGGACAAAAGGAATCAAGAAAGTAGCTTAGAAAGTATTTCTGAAAAAAGAAGACCTAAATAATTTACTTGCATTTTCTTAATTAGGTAAATCAATTCATTGTACACAAGGATAGTCTTCATTGCTGATTTTCTAATAACTAAGAATTCATGAATTGGAAAAATGCTATAAGTACAGAATAGACATTTAAAAATAAAAAAAAATTATTTCAGGAACTGAAATATATGGCCATTAACTCTCTTATGCCTTAATTCATACAGTTTTATGTGTCATGATTCATTCTGGAGTTTGAAAAATTTATTCTACTCAATAATTTTTCTAAGATCTTTTGAATATATAAAATAGACAGAGTTCATATAAACAGTCATCGAGCAGTGTTTTGGGCTAGTCAGTAAATATCCTTCAAAACCCTTTTGGCGCCTACACATATGAATGCACATACATGCACATTTATGTAGCCATATCTGTAACAGGATGCCTTTCTTCAGCTAAGTCATCAGTCTTATTTTATTCCCTCTCCTTAGGCAACAAGCATCTACTTACATAGTTTCTTTAACTTATGTATTTAGAAAATTTACAGACATTTTTCCAAACCACTCAGCTATCTCTTAAGAGTTTCAGATAATATTCAAGTTTTTTTTTTTTTTTTTTTTTTCTGACGGACTCTCACTCTGTCACCCAGGCTGAAATGCAGTGGCGCGATCTCGGCTCACTGCACCCTCTGCCTCCCTGGTTCAAGCGATTCTCCTGCCTCAGCCTCCCCAGTAGCCGGAATTACAGGCACGCACCACCACGCCCAGCTAATTTTTGTATTTTTAGTAGAGACAGCGTTTCACCATGTTAGCCAGGCTGGTCTCAAATTCCTGAGCTTGTGATCCGCCCACTTTGGCCTCCCAAAGTGCGGGGATTACAGGCGTGAGCCACTGTGTCCGGCCCCAGATAATAATATACAACTTTTTACTTGGTCATCTCACAGAGACCTCAGTTCAGTGCAGAAAGCCAGAAGTATCCTCTCCCCTTTCTTCAAACCTGTCTCCATTGTTTCTTCCCTGTGGTACCGTCATCCATCCAATCCAATATTTTCCTTAATACGTAATGAGGGAAGAATGGAGCATGACGTTTCCATCCCTTATTCCCTCATCCTCTATGCTCAGTCGCTACTCTTTCCATTTCTGCGCTCCCATCATAACGGAAGTTTTCGTTGTTGTTTCTCGTCTTTCCCCACCTACTGGAGACATTTTTTCTTCTTCCTTGCCTTTCCTTAACCACCCCTTAAGTCCCAGCTTGGAAGATATTTTCTCAAGGAACCCTTCCCAGAGCCCTCACTCTCCCACTGTGGCGACTCCCTGCTCCCTGGGACTATTTCTGCCACACAGAGGTTGTTACTACTACACCTTCCATTTCTCCATAAGAAACATGCAGTTCCTTGTTCAATGCCTTCTTCTTCTCTCCATGCTAGCGGGGACTGAGCATAAATCATGCCTGTTTTGTTCACTAACATGTTCCTATTGTCTGAGAGTGTTTGGCCATAGTGGTTCCTGCTGTGTGTTCCCTGAAGGAATGAATCAGCCATTGATGTATTAGAACCTATGTTAGATCTTGTGGATATGAAGATCCTTAATGTTCTGACATTTCTCAGACTTTGGTTGGAGAGACTGATGGAAGGAAATAAAGGATGACCTAAGAAACACAGAATTAGGCGGGGCGTAGTGACTCATGCCTGTAATCCCAGCACTTTGGGAAGCTGAGGCAGGCAGATCACGAGGTCAGGAGTTCAAGACCAGCCTGGCCAATATGATGAAACCCTATTTCTACTCAAAATGCAAAAAATTAGCTGGGCATGGTGGTGGGCGCCTGTGACCCCAGCTACTCGAGAGACTAAGGCAGGAGAATCCCTTGAATCTGGGAGGCAGAGGTTGTAGTGAGCAGAAATAGCGACATTACACTCCAGACTGGGCAACAGACGAGACTCCATCTAAAAAAAAAAAAAGAAACCCGTAATTAATGTTTATGTCCAATAGCTGAATTAACAGGATGTGTTTATTCTTTGTTTGCATTTCTAAACTTTATTTTCTTCTTTTCACATTTGACCTAAAATTTGGATTCTGTGAATACTTACATCTAGTTATCCATTTTAAATTGATATTTAACTTACCACAGTAACAGAAAGTTTATTTCAAACTGGTGGTTTTTTGCTTTCACTTTTTAAGTAAAAACCTGTTTTTT